TAGTGAGGTTGGCCCAGGATCAGGCAGTGTTTTGTTCTGCTGTGCATAAGGTCGCTATGGGTCAGTACTGACTCAATGGCACCTAACAACAACAACAACAAGCTGTGGTGTGGCACTGTGGGTTAATGCACCAGACTGCAAAGCTGTTTGAACTGCAAGGTTGGAAGTTCAAGCTCACCAGCTGCTCCTCAGAAACCCTATACAGGGTCGCTATGGGTCGGAATCCACTTGATGGCACTTAACAACAACAAGAAGAAACTGTGAGAAAATCAATTTCTGTTTGTTAAAGCCATCCGCTTGTGTTATTTTTGTTATAGCAGCATTAGATAAGGAATCCAGGAACCAAAGATTACTCATGCTTACTAGGGGCAGGAGAGAGGGAGGAAAGGGGTAATTTTTACTTAAGAGTCATTGAGTGAATGCTAATGTGATGGAATGATTTGGCAAGGATAAGGAGAATGGTTGTATAATTTAAAGAATGTAATAAAGGTCACAGAATTGTACAAGTAGAAATCATTGAGTTGTGTCTGTTTTCTTATTCATACTTTCGCCACAGTGTAATTTAAACAATATACAAAGAAGAATTCACATATCATAAATACACAGCTGCTGTTGTTAATTGCCAGCAAGTTGCTTCCAACTCATAAGGATCCTGTACAGAGTTTCCAAGGAGCAGTTGGTGGATTTGAACTGTTGACCTTGCAGTTAGCAGTCCATTGCTTATCCTACAGCACCACGTGAGGATTCTCCCAAACTAAGTACATCTAAGTAACCAGCGCCCAAATAAACTGTAGAGAATATATTAGCACTCAGAAAGAATCCCTCTCACTACTTCCTTAAAGGAGTCCTGGCATGGCACTGTAGGATAAGTACTACGCCGAAAGGTCTATTTGAACCAAAGAGTCCGTGGTTCAAATCTACCAGCTGTTCCTTCGAAACCTTATGCAGGGTCACTGTAAGTCAGAACCAACTAGAGGACACTTAGCAGTAAAAACAACCTCCTTAAAGGTAACCACTAACCTTTAAAGAGCTGCTAACCTTAAGGTCAGTAGTTCGAAACTACCAGCCATTCTGGAGGAAAAAAATGAGGTTTCCTGTTCCTATAAAGATTTCCAGCCTCAGGAGTCCTGGTGTAGTGCTGTGGTTTAATGCACTGGACTGCAAAGTCAGTTTGAATGGAAACCTAATTTATGAAAATGCAGATCAGGGTTTGTTTGTTTTTTTGCATATTTTCCAGTGGATCTAACCTCTTAGCACACATCATAATCACCTGGTTGCTGTTATTGCAGCTGGTGAGCTTGAACCGCCCACCTTGAGGATCAGACCGACTGTGCAGTCCAGTGCATTAATCCACAGCACCACACCAGGACTCTTGGAGAGCTAGTTAAAACAGACTGCTGGACTCCACCTCCAGAGTTTCTGGTTCAGTTTTGTTGAGTAAAGCCTGAAAATTAACATTTCTAACAAATTCCCAGGTCATGGTGATGATACTGGTCTGGAGTTTAACCATTTGTACTTTTATGTGAAAGGATTCCTGGTGGCGCTATTGGATAAGAACTGGACTGCTAACCACACTGCTAACTGGACAGCAGTTCAAATCTACCAGCTGCTCCCAGGAGAAAGATGAGACCTTCTGCTCTGGTGCTGTGGGTTAATTAATGAGCCAGACTGAAAATCAGTTTGAACTGCAAGATCAGCAGTTCAAGCTCACCAGCTGCTCCTCAGGAACCCTATACATAGGTTGGAACCGACTTAACT